TCAAGCAGACATTTCTCATTGATTCTGAGGAAGCATCCATACCTCTGCATTCTTAGTCAGACGAATTAATTTTAGGTAGCCCTGAAGATAACTTATTGTAGTTGTAGCTGGCTCAGCCACAGGATGCCAGATGGCCTGGAGGCACCAATGCTCAGGATCCAGGAACAAGGCTATCCAAGAATTTAGTATATTCATGCAAAAGAGTAAGCAGTTATTGCTGAGGGTTGAGATGTTTCACAAGCATCTCTACAGCTATGCCTTTAAACATTTTGCAGATGTAAGCTGCTATTTCAAGGGTAAATTTATATCATTAATTAAATCAGCACATACATAATGTTGGAGTCCCTAGTGCTTGTATATAGCTGTTAGAAAGAATAGAAGAGCAGCATCCAATTCAAATACTATGGGCCAACTGCCATTGTCTCAGATTGTACCAGAAACACACATGTTGAAAAGTTGCTATGAATTCTTATTCCTGCAACTCAACACGTATTTATAACTTATTGGAAATAAGATGGTCCTAAGAATGCCTGATAACTCATGTGTAAGCTGTGAAACATAAGATATATACTCTTACAAGTTGTTTTTTATGTAGCTATTGAATGACTATCTTAGAAGGTTACCTTCATATTCTCTGGACATATTATACAGCTAAGAATCAGTGAGTAATTGATTATTATTTTTATGAGTAAAATTTCAAAGTTATTATTCCATCATTCAGTTGATTCATTTATTGCTTTAACAAATATTTATTGAACACTCTTTTAGGAGACAGAGGTACAGTGATAAAAAGGACTGATGACTCTTTTGAGGTTATGGAGCTTGCCTTCTAGGAGATTTGTTTTGGATAAAGTCTAGACCACAGACTGGTAGATGTGGTGACTTCACATGTTTCCACCTGAACGTGTAAGAGTGTAGCTTAACTCACAGAACTCTTCTACTTCTACACTTATAACTACTTCACTTTGTATTTTTAACTTCTACCTCCTGATACTCAGGTGCTCATTGATGTCAAGATAGCTTCAAGTAACACTGTCTCAAACTCAGTGGGAAAAACATACAATTGCATACTTTCAGACTTCATTTTACTCTGTCTTCAGCTTTTGGAACTTTTAAACATTTCCACTTTGAAAAATGTCTTCACTTAGCCTCCAAGATCTACTTTCTCTTGGTTCTCTTCCTACCAGTAGACTTCTTCAGAGTTTTAATTACAGCTTCTCCTTATTTTCCTAACCTCCAAATAATGTAGTGATTAAGCTCTCAGACTTTGAGTTTTTCCTCTTCTAACTCATTTCATAGTGTCATAATTTAGTATTATGAATTCAGTATCATCTCCTTGTTGAGGACTTCTAGATAGATATCTATCTGGACCTACTAACATCTCTACTTGGACATCCAATGGACATCTTAAACTTAAAACATGAATCTAACTCCATTCTAGTGCATCTGCTATCTGTTTCTTCTTGTTATATTCTTCCCAAGATAAATGTATGGCTTGCTATCTGACTGCCTTCAGATTTCTAAACAAATGTCACTTTCTTTAGGAAGCTTTCTCAGATTATCCTATATAAAATAGCACCATTCCCACCTTCCTATCCCTGCTTGTATTCCTTACCTTTCTCATCTGAATGTATGCTTCTCTAAAACATTATTACCAACTGGCATATTACATATGTATTTACATATTGTCTGTCTCCCCAGCTAAACTTCAAGCTCCATGAAGGTGGAGGTTACTTCCTACTGTGTTATAAGTACATAGAACAACGACTAAAAAGTAGCTGGAACTCAATGTATACTTTATACTTATCAAATCAATGATTAAACTTTTAAAAAAATTTCTTCTATGGCCCTATCTACCTACCCACCTACCTACCTGTCTACCTACCTTCCTACCTAATGTTTTGCAAGTTCCACCAGTTTGGGATGAAAAAGGTGATTTTCAAGGGCAGTATCAGAATGGTGTTTTGGATTTTGGAACTAAAGTCCAGCCTCTTAGCCCTAAGAGACTTTAAGAGATAACACACTCCCTCTTCTTGTTCTACAACACTTCCTCTTCTTGGTCAATAAATTGTGACTTAGAAAGAAAAACACTTTGAAATTACACCACTAATAAGAGACAGAACCACTGTCAGAGCCCAGGCTTCATGCCTTTGCAGTTAGTGCTCTCCAACCTAAACCCTGATTAGGAGATGTTGCTTTTTCCTGCTTGCCCACAGCAGCCCAATCCTTTCTGACATTATTTTAAAATTGTCCTTAATGAAGATTATACACAGATTGAACGAGAGAAAAATCTGGCTTTAATTCCATGGACTGTATAGTCCATGGGTTCGCAAAGAGTCGGACATGACTGAACGACTTTCATGAATAAAAATGTCATATGTGTGTGTGTGTATATATATATATATACACACATACACAGACACACACACACACACATAATTTCAAGGGAAAAAAGGAGAACATTTCTGGATACTTAAAACCTAAAACTTAATTCTGTTTGCAAAATGCCTAGTTTAAAACAAAGCAACATCCCAGGATATTGAGAAACAGATTTAAGATCTCCTAACAAACTGCTGGAATCAAGATTGCTGGGGAAAATATCAATAATCTCAGATATACAGATGACACCACCCTTATGGCAGAAAGTGAAGAGGAACTAAAAAGCCTCTTGATGAAAGTGAAAGAGCAGAGTGAAAAAGTTGGCTTAAAGCTCAACATTCAGAAAACTAAGATCATGGCATCCAGTCCCATCACTTCATGGCAAATAGATGGGGAAACAGTGGAAACAGTGTCAGACTTTATTTTTCTGGGCTCCAAAATCACTGCAGATGGTAATTGCAGCCATGAAGTTAAAAGATGCTTACTCCTTGGAAGGAAAGTTATGACCAACCTAGACAGCATATTAAAAAGCAGAGACATTACTTTGCCAACAAAGGTCCATCTAGTCAAGGCTATGGTTTTTCCAGTGGTCATGTATGGATGTGAGAGTTGGACTGTGAAGAAAGCTGAGCGCCGAAGAATTGATGCTTTTGAACTGTGGTGTTGGAGAAGACTCTTGAGAGTCCCTTGGACTGCAAGGAGATCCAACCAGTCCATCCTAAAGGAGATCAGTCCTGGGTGTTCATTGGAAGGACTGATGCTGAAGCTGAACCAGTACTTTGGCCACCTCATGCAAAGAGCTGACTCATTGGAAAAGACCCTGATGCTGGGAGAGATTGGGGGCAAGAGGAGAAGAGGACGACAGAGGATGAGATGACTGGATGGCATCACTGACTTGATGGACATGAGTTTGAGTATTCCGGGAGTTTGTGATGGACAGGGAGGCCTGGCGTGCTGCGATTCATGGGGTTGAAGGCCTGGCGTGCTGCGATTCATGGGGTCACAGAGAGTCAGACATGATTGAGCGACTGAACTGAACTGAACTGAAGAAACTGTTACACCTTCATCAGAGGTAGAAAAAAAATACATGCAGGTATGTTAGTAAGAAGCAATGATATGAATAGAGCAAACAGCCTAGAAAAAGTTTTTTAAAAATCAATTAAAAGATTTCTTGACCCTGATGGTGTAGTGCTCTAGGGAATAAAGAATCTAATCTAAGAATCTAATCTAAGGATTTTCCCATACAAAAGACAATGTAAAAAAGTGTGAATTCCATAAAAGCAGTAGAACATAGTAGTTGCCTATACTCTTGTTCTTTGGATTTGCATCTAGCAAGCCTACGCTTGCATCATAAATGTAATCACTTAATTTTACTATTTTAACTTCTACAAGATTCAAAACTGTTAACCTATAATGCAGAACTGAATAATAACTATGGCATATAATTGCTGTAAGAATTAAAATAGATCATAAATATAAATGATTTACACACTGTGTCATCCGTTTTAAAGTTCAAAATACTGTGGAATGATACTAGTAAAATTTAACCAACTGCAGTATAGACTTAAAAATAATTTCTAAAAAAAAAAATAATTTCTAAAATTTTTAGAAATAGTATTTATGAAAAAGATCTAAAATTTACCAAAATTATGTTTGTAATTGATCATTTGCTGAGTTTTTCTAAAACTTCAGGTACTTCTTCATTGTTCAGCTCTATCAGTTTTCTATATAGCACATGAACTGAAACCATCTCCTAACGCAACAGTACAATAGCAATCATAGACAGCTTACTGTTTTCCAAAACATGCTAATTTCTGCGTGTAGATGTGTCTACCTGCAAAACCAAACTTTTTGACCTCAAAACATTCATTTCACCATGATGATTCAAGAAAGAAGACTGTGACCCAATTTTTGATTGTCTAAAGTCCTTGGAGGTGAGAGTAGTGTGGATAAGGAGATTGGTAGGTGAGATCAGAGAGGTATTAGGACAGATAACAGATGGTCAACCTGGCTGCTATCATAATTATCACACCCAATACCAAGGTCCAAACATCCACTCTGAGTAATTAGTTTGAATACTAATATACAGGCATTGCTTAGCTTACCATCAGACATTTACCCTTTGCTTCTAGTTTAACTATCAGAAATGTACTCTCTAATTTCTATTCCTATAGAATATATTTATTTTCAGGGTTAAATAAGTAATAAAGCATTAAACAATCCATCCTCAGTAATTACCTGTTCATACATTGTTTTTATTACATTTTCACCCAGATATCTACCATGTAAGAGAGACTTTTTTTTTTTTTAAGAGACACATTTAAAATGAAAGCAATGAACTGTCATAAAGCACAGGTTTCCCTGACTTAAGCGTCATTTTTGAAGTAGGAATTTTTGGATCATTCCTTCCTAACTTTGATTCAATACAGACACCAATTTCTACCACTTTCAAAAAGGAAGAAGAAAAATGAAGAAACCTTTTCTAGAAAAATCCTTCTTTCCGATGCTGGGGTTCTTTGGAGCCACAAACTCTAAAGTTATCTCCCCCTCCTCCAATCAATACTTCTAAAAAACAGATGAATACACACTTTAAAAAAGTTGCACCTCGATACAACTCTTACCTGCATCTCTTGACAAAAGGAAGCCAGTGGCCCAAAGAGAATCTGACATTGCTCATCAGCAGTGTATGTCATCTCTGGCAACTTGGAAGGAACCATCACAGAATTGACACTGTGGGGATTTGTCTGCAGCAAGCAGTTACTGGCCTTTGACCTAGCAATATGCAGATATGTGTGACATTCTGAATTAACTGCAAAAAGTTGTTATAATTAGTTAACGCAGCAATAGCAAACATTTTAATACTATTAAATATGTTCTTACTTTTATTTATAAGCTCTTCTATTGAATGCTCATGGAAATTATCTCATATATGGGAACCATGTGTTTACAATTATTACAATAATCCTATCAATATTAATAAAACAATGTTCAAGTTAATAGAACTTTTTGATTTTAAAGATCTTTCATTTGAATTAATTAAGCTCATCTACACAACACTGTGAGATGGTTATTATGTTACACATTTGTAAGGTGAAGAAGCTCAGTCTCAGAGAGTAACTGCTTAAAAGTAATGTATGAAGGTAAGAAATCAACTATATTCAAGGATTTAAAGAATCCAGGAAAATCATGCTCAAGTGACTATTAATAGAAGGAATATTTTTGGACTTGACACTGCACCACAACTTCCATTTATGGGGTAAAATTTAATTTTATCATAGTTCTGATTCATGAGAAGACAACTAAGCCAAACCACACACTCACGGGGGCCTACAGAGGGGTTGTTGCTTCAGTGACAAAGAACATGCCCAGATGACATTGCATGTGTTTCTGGAAAGAGCTATAGTAATGTAATAAATATATTTTAGTAGATTTTAATATTCATTTGACAAAAAATTAACTTGCCAATTTAAATAGTATGGAAAAATAAATTTGAGTAGTGAATTTAGCTAGTTAGGTATTTCTATGTTCCTTACTTAGATTTTTGAGTACTTCAAGCATCTCTCTCTCACTCATTGACTGGGACTTTGCATATCACCTATTGGTATTGTTTCAGCTTTCCCTTCTATTACTGAAGAAACAAGTAAAGAACAGGGCTTTAAAGTGAAAATCAGAACAATAACACTTTTTCATTTTTTCCCCAACCAGGCAAAAGCTAATATTACCAGCTGAATGTTGAAAAGAGGAGAATCAAGGACTATAATAATGGTGAAAATTATGGATTAATGAAAAAAGACTCAGAGTTTAGAACTACGAAGTAGAAAGGCGGAGCTTTTGGTAAAGAGGTTTTTGATAACAACAGATGTAGAGGGATGAGCACTGAGAATGTTTCCATTGAGAATTTCTGAAGAGGCAATTTAATATTATGCAACATTTTTTATCACTGCAATAATTTTCAGCCTTACAAATCATATTGCCTAGTCTCTTGTTTGAAAATGCGGAAACTAAAAAACGAGTTGGTTGAAGAATATGTCCCAATTGACACCATGAGCCAGTGGAGAGACAGGATTAGAACCAAGTGCCTTGATTCCTAATCCATGCCCTTTCCACTCTGCCATGCCACATACCAGGGTGGTAGAGGAAGCAGGCACACATACACATTCATGACACAACAACAGCAAGTGACCTCAGTACCTTAGAAATCTTTCCAAATCTTCCTTGCTACATCGGGACCATGAGACATCACCAAGATTTTGTCCTTTAATCCATTCACCAGACATGATATGAAGACCATCAGCACATGATGGGTGGTCATTGTCATGATTAATCCCCATGCTGATTTGGAATATAGTTAAAATTTGAAAATTATATTAGATATAAATTTTAACTTATTATACCTGCAATTAAATGACAGCTAAATCATTAAAACAGTGAGAATAATTATTTTTAATTTTAATTTTTTATTGAAGTATAGCTGAATTACAACACTGTGTTAATTACTGCTTTATGGCAAAATGACAGTTATACATATATATGTATATATGTATATACACACACACACATACACACACATTCATTTTCATATTCTTTTCCATCAGGGTGTATCACAGGATACTGAATATAATTCTCTTTGCTATAGAGTAGGACCTTGGTGTTCATCCATTCTACATATACCAGTTGGCATCTGCTAGTCCCAAACTCCTGATTTATCCCTCTCTTAACCCCTGCTCCCCTGGCAACCACCAGTCTATTCAGAAAGAAATTAGTTTTAAATGTAAAAATAAAATTAATTTCATATTGATTATTTTTAAAATTATGTTTATCTAGATTAAAGGTCAATGTTTTTATTTAGTAAAAAACATTTTCTTGATTAAAGGTCAATGACTTTATTATTAAAAAATTTTCCCAGTCAGTAAATAACATGTTTAGTTCACCTATTATCAGTATAATCTACGTTATTTTCCACACAATAGTAGGTATGAAACACAGAAATACTTAAGTTTCTATTCAACCACACTAGATTCTTGCTCTTGCCTGAATATCCTTTATTCATTCCTTTTATCAAATCTGAAGCCACATTAAAGTATTGTTTCCCCCAGCTGCTTCATGAGACAGTCTTCTTCCATGCATCATAAAACACAAACTGTCCCTGGGAAACCTTCAGGCTCTCAGTCATCTTCATCTTTTCTCTTGAATCCTATCTGGTGCTCTAAGTTGGAACTCTGATCTAAAACTCTGACTTATCTTCTAATGGATGTATTGGAATAATATTAAATTCAGTATGTCTAAAAACTGCCATAATATTTTCTTTCAAACCTCTATATACTCCTGTATTCTCTCCCTCTTTTCTTTTCTTTTTTTTTTTTTGGTGCCTTTGCTAGCCACACAGTTTGCCAAACCAAGGATCCTCAAGTCATCATTTATTCCTTCCTCTTCCAAATTATCACCCAGGCTATTTTGTTTACTAATTGTTAAGGGCNATGTATGCATGCATGCTAAGTCACTTCAGTCGTGTCCGACTCTGTGCGACCCCACGGACAGCTGCCCACTAGGCTCCTCTGTCCACAGGATTCTCCAGGCAAGAATACTGGAGTGGGTTGCCATTTCCTTCTCCAAAATAATTCTATGAGGTCGGAACTATTATAGTACCCCTTGTGCAGATGAAAAGTAACTTTCCCAAGGTCATACAGGAGAAAGTGGAAGGTAGTGATGTTCGAACTGAGGAGACTGGCTCTAGAATCATGTGACTAACCATTAACCATTTGACATCTATGAATTCTACTTCCTCCCTAACCCTATGCAAAGTGTTTTTCCTTCAATGTCTTTCCCTGGATAAATTCTGCTTAATCTTCAAGATTCATGTAGATTACTTTTAGGAGGTTTTCTTTTACTTTCTCCCACCTCACTTACATGTACCATCTTTCCCCCTCCCCATCATGGGATACTATAAACAACAGTCCTGCAGTGTTTTCTATAGTGTACTATATGTTTTCTACTTTTGGTTATCTAATTTCTAATTGCTAGAGACTTATCACTCTAAAATGATGGCATACTGGAACCATATTCTATAAACAATAATTAAATTTAAACCAAGCCAACATGTTGAATCACTTCTATTTCAGTAAAAGTTGCATATAATCTCCTATGAATTCTCATAATGAAGTCATTAAAGTAATTGCTTGTGAGAGAGTTAACACTGAAGACGTAGAAAAAGGAAAGTTTGGTTTTGTACATGTTGCGTTTGAGAAGATGGCAAGATAGTCCAATGCTCCTTTCTTCTCATTGTGTAACAGATAATAACTAAAACAGTTTTCATTAAAATATTGTGAATAACAAGAATATCTATTCTGTATTTTAAAACACAAGTAAAAGAATTGTTATAGAAGTTGTTAAAAATTACAACTACCTATATTTTCTTGTATGAAAATAAAACTTTCAAAGTTATTGAACTACATTTTCAGTTAAATAATTTAAAATTTTAAATAAAAATTGCTATATTTAATGTGCTTTTGAAAGAGGAAAATGATAATATGATGAATTAATTAATTTATGAAGAAGAGTAATGAATTAGAAGTTAAGTTTGCTAAGTTGAAGACAGTGAAAATTATCTAAATAAAATTAAAAATATTAAATATATTTTTTCATTTTAATGTTAGAAAAATTCAGCTATATGGTAAATTATATTTCTCTTTTCTCATCTAATTAATGTCCTTAAATAGGGTCTGTACCAACACATATTAATAGAATGACTGATAGAGAAAACAGGAAGAAACATCTTTTTCATACTTTGAAGATGAAGAGGAAAACTAACAGATGATATGGATTAAGCAGAGGTCAGTTCAATTAGTGTGGGGTAGAGAAAAAGACAGAGGAGTTAGATTAGAATCTTCTGTCTCCATCTTATTCCTGTGACCAGAGGCAATTGAAATAATAATAAAGAAACAAGAAATAAGCATGCCTTGGTTTCCTTGTTTGTAAAACATACCTTTCTGATTGGTTGCGAAGATTACATGAGGATGATGTAAAATGCCTAGCACAGTGCTTAGAAAAGAGCAGGAACCAGTAACTTTCTTTTGAAATCGGGACAGTAAATCAGAGATGTTTTATTTCTCTCATTTGTTACAAACACACAAAAAACTATCATTAAAGGCAATTTACTGTACTGACTTTCATGAAAGTGGGGATTTAAGAAAATTCAAGTAAATAACAATGGCAAGAAGTTACTTTGTTTGGATGCTAAGTTAAAATAAGAAATTGTACATATGGCACGGTCTCCCAGATTGATAAAGATGCCTTAATGCACTGTATTGTTCCAAAGCTGTCCCTGCTTGCATCACCACCTTGCCTCCACCAGGGACTCTGTCTGCAGCATATGTCACTGGGTGACCCTGTTATAACAACAGCCACTTGCCACGTGGAACATACTCAACCATCTGTGTTGGTGCAGGCTTTCAAATCATATACAAATTCTTTATTTTTGAAAGGCAACTGGGCTTTTTCAGAAACAATAAAATTTCTTAAATAATGTGTCCGTTTGAGAGAAGAAGAGGGACTCCTTCCAGGATTTAGCAATTTGGACATGTTCCCAAAGCAATGTAATGTGATTTTCCAAATTGGGAAGATTACAACTTCTCATCCAGATGATCATTTTCCTTCAGGGATCCGGATTCTCATGTAAGAAATTAGCTACAGCCATGGAGAGATCTGGTGATTCAAGCATTGTTTACCATTAGTTAAATTTTCCTAAAGCTATTTAACTTGTAACAGAAGTTATCATTAAATTGGGACAGGGCTTTTTTTTATAACCACACATCTGGAACTATCAGAGACACTACTTACTTTTGATTCTACAGATTTGAAAGAAAACAATTGTGAGCCTTTATCTGTGCCAGTCACTGTATTAATCATTTTCAGTGATGATATCATTTAATCCTCACAATACCTCCAGAATGTTTTTATTATCATGACTTCTATTTTACAGATGAGGAAGGCACTGAAGTTAATGTTGGAGCTGTGACTCAGACCCAGGCAGTCTGTTGGTCAAAAACAGTGAACTTTAAACCAAACTATAGATCAAAAGTCTCCATTTATGTATAAGATTTCTTTTCGGAATGATTTTTTAATGTCTCCTCTTAGTTAGCAGAAACGCACCTCCACAGGTATAGACCCAGAACCGACTTGCATGCACTGTACGGAAAACATTCTTCAAGTAAGACATTAGCAACACCTCTCCTCACACTATGCAACCGAGCTACATTTTAATAATCTCAGTTTAAATTCATTTTGACAAAGAGCCTTGGGCAAATAAACTCTCCACTAACATTGTACATGGTTGTCAAGTCAACTGAGAAAATATTTTTATCTTATAAAACTTCTCAACTTGTTTAAAAGTCCCTGCCAGGAAGTTTTGTGATATCCTGCGGAAAGCTGGAGAAGCATTTGCATTTTGAAGATGGTCCCTTTTGATGTTTAATGAGTTAGAGAAGTGGACGCTTATGAATTCACTCACATTTTTTGGATAATTTGGAAAGGATCTGAGTTGTAAACATTCATATTTTAAAAGAGTAAACTTTTGGGGGACTGAACATGTTAAACATTTTGTCATGGTATCTTCCCACTAAAAGCTATATATCATGTATAAAAAAATTGATTAAAAAAAGGAAACAAACTATTACAATGTCTAACTGGAAGTGGATTATACTTTCATAAAATGACACAATTTCATACGATTCAGTGACTGTATCTGATTTGATGTAACTTCACTGATGTGTACTCATGGAAAAAAGCCCAACATTAAGAAATATGAGACATTTTCATTACTTTTTATATTTTAAATCATTTAAATCATTTCACTTTGCACAAAACAAATATGTACTTCTACTGGCAAGTCAAAGGCAGTGAAAAGTAAGTCAGCAACAGGCTAAAAAATCAGAGGATAAAAAATAAAACACACTCTGCTGTGTGTTACATAAAAGATAAATTTAACAATTCAACAAATACTTGTTAAGAACACACTAAGTGCTGGGCACTGTACTGAGCTGGGGTCATAAATATGAGTAAGATCGTTTTTACCCTCAAGGAGTTTATCATCTACTGGGGCTAGAATACTCTTACCCTCAGGCAGCTAAAGATGCCTGAATCCTGTTCTTCTATGTTCCATAAAGCTCTCCAACCCACTGCTCCTTTTCCACCACTACTTCCATCAACCAAGACAAGCTGAGTTACTTCACTAGGGCTTCCCTGGTGGCTCAGAGGTTAAAGCATCTGCTTGCAATGTTGGGAGACCCGGGTTTGATCCCTGGGTCAGGAAGATCCCCTGGAGAAAGAAATGGCAA